AAAAAAAAAAGCATCAAGTCCATCCAACAATTCCACATCCAGGATCCACCTTGAGTCTTAGTGGCATGCACAAGAGAAGATTGAGGAAAGTACCTGTCTTTAAACAGGTTGCTCACAAGGAGGTCAGGATTTGTGGCAATCCTCCACAATTGCTTGCAAATGAGGGCTTTGTTGAATAATTGCAAATCATGGAAACCAGACCACCTTTATCTTTTGGGAGAAAGAGAAAGCTCTATTTGCTCCAGTGAATCCTTGTTGCCTACTCAATACCCGTTTTCCACCAAAATTTGGCACAAAGTTTAGAAATTTCATAGCAAAGAGTGGCTGTCAAGGTAAAGCAGAACATAGTGAAAACAGGTAAAGCCTAGAGAACTGCTTTTATGAGAACTTCAATCCCTGCAGTGCTGAGAAATTTGTCTTTTCAGTTGGTGAGTTTGTTCCTCACAGAAGTCAACAGGTACTCAAATACTTCTTTCTTCGATCTACCAATTCCAAGAGGGAGGCCAAGATATCTTGTGGACCTGTGAGCAACTATGCCATTCAGAGTCCTGCATATGGTTCTCTGCAAATGTTGTGGGGTGTTTTTACTGAAAAAAATAGCAGACTTCTGTAGATTCACTGCTTGTTCTGTAAAGAGCCTATATTGCTCAAGGATGTTCATGAGAATCCCAGCTTGATCAAAACTAGCTTTGCAAAAAAAAAAAAAGTGAATCATCGCAAACAAGAGATGAGAAAGAAGGGGGCCATTTCTGGACAACTTCATCCCTTTCAGCATGCCATTAGAAATAGAATTCAGAATGAGAGCAGTGAAGAGTTCAGTCACAATAATGAAAAGGTAAGGGGATAAAGGATCCCCTGCCTTATGCCTGTAGATGGAGAGACACAGTCACTGATATAACCATTAACTTTAAATGAGAAAGATGCAGTAGATATACAAACCATAATGAGTTTGACAAAATCATAGTGAAAGCCCATTTGTAGCATTATCTTCTTCAGACAGATCCATTCAACACGATCAAAGGCTTTAATCAAAATCCAGTTTAAGGGCTATGAAGCAATTAGGACCAGTAGAGTGTCTATTAAGAAAATAAAAAGCCTCTTGAGCTATGATTACATTATCTGACAATTGCCTACCCTCTATAAATGCTGCTTGATAATCACTAATGCATGAGGTAAAGTAAGCTTTCAGTCTCCCAACAATTTAGAGATGATCTTGTATACAACACTGCACAGGCTGATGGGTCTAAATTGGCTCAAAGAATCAGGATTGCCACATTTAGGAATGAGAGACACTACTTTGTGGTTCCAGTACTTTATCATCATACCATAGTGGAAGAAACTGAGCACAACCTGCATAAGATTTGTCTTAATGAAAGACCAGAAGTGTTGATAAATTCTAGCTGTCATGCCATCCTCCCCAGGGGATTTGTCTGGTTGCAGGCTAAATAAAGCCACTTTCACTTCTTCTTCTTCCACTTATTTGAGCAATACTTGATTCATGTCAGCAGTGATGCAAGAAGGGATAAGATGAAGAAAGGAATCCCCTCTCAGCTGCCCTCTGAGGAGAAAAGAGAGCCATAAAATTCAACAATGTGTTTCTCAATATCAGTCTGAGATGAATGCACTCTGCCCTGAGGTGAGATGAGCCTAGTAATTGTATTAAGCTTCCTCCTCTAAAGAGTACAGGCATGGAAAAAATGAGTGTTAGCATCTCTCTCCTCCAGCCACTTGTGTTTAGCATTTGGTTGCAAGTATAGCTCTTCTTGGAGATGTACCCTGTTCAAGTCGCTCTTAGTTGTGATCCATTCATCCTAGTTGTGGCCAGCTTGATCAGAGTTCAAATCTTTCAGTTTTTTAGTAAGCACAACCATGTGCTTCTGATTTTGTGACTGTAAAAAGGAGCTCCATATGAGTAAGGTCATCCTGGTATTTTTTATTTTCCCTTTGAGTTGAAAGAGTGGAGTGCCTGACACATGGAGGAGCCAAGCTTTTTTCACCACCTCTACAAAGCCTTCTTTGCCAATCTACCTTTTATCAAAATGAAAGGAAGACTTCCTTCTCTCCCTTGGCAATCCCAAATCCAGCAGCAAAGCTGAGTGATCAGAATAACTCCTAAGAATATTAAGGGCAGTAGCATTTGGATAAACTTGAGACCAGTCCAAAGAGCCAAATGCTCTATATAGCTTCTCCTCCACTAAGTCAGGGTTGGCTCTGTTGTTATACCAGGAATTGATAAAAGAGTTGAAACCAAGGAAGCTGGATAAATTTCGAGGGATGCCACCTGCTTTATCAGCTGGAGAAATCAGATCATTCCAGTCACCAATTGAAAACTAAGTGTGACCCCACTGTTGCTTAGCAAGAGTCATCACTTGCCATTGAGCTTCTCTGGTAATTCTGGAGGGGCTAAAATAGACAAAATCTCCCTATTGAGGGTTAGCTGAATGCAATTGGAATTCAACAACTATATTAAAATCCTTACATTGGATTTGATGAACAATAACTTTGTTATCCCAACACAAAACAAACCCTCCACTAAGACCTACTAGATCTACAACAATCAACCTATCATCAAAACCTAATTTTTTACAAACAGACTTTACAAAAGATTTTTGTTTTTTTGGTTTCTGATAAAAAGAGAACATTTGGATGGTGAGTTCTCAATAACTCTCTGGTTTTGGAAATTGTAGAGGGCCCACCCAGCCCTCTACAATTCCACACCAGAGCTAACATTGATCATGGTGGTGCTACTCTAGGCTTGCAACCCCCACCCTATCATTCTGAGCTTTGAGTTTTCTAGATTTCACTTGATTAAGAGTAGTAGTATCATTTGTTGTCTCATCTGTCTCATTCCCAGTTCTGTGCCTCTTACCCCTAATTAGCTGATCAATATTAATTTGTGGTTCTGAAGCTATTTGTAGTCTTCCAATTTTGCTTCCCACCCTCTTCCAAGTCTTGGCTTTGGTAGCATGAGAGCTAGAAGATAAGTGAGATTCTGGCAGCACCACAACATTGATGACTGAACTATCTTTCTCCACTTCCATCATTGAGGATTCAACAATCTGAAGGTTATTATCCTCCATGCCTTCTCCAGGAATAGGATTCTTAGTGGCTGAAACAAGGGAAGTGGCATCAACTGATTTAGCTGGAGATTAGGTATTCTCTTGATTGTGGAGAATGTCAATGCTTTTGTCAGGTTGACTTGATGAACCTCCTTGAACAGGTGTGTTTTTTGCCATAGAGGGGGAGTCTCTTTGAGGAGATGATCGAAATCCAGAGAGATTAACATGAGCCCATTTTTGTCCCTCGCAACCTTTAACCAGTCTCCAAATTGCCCCTCTCTCATACAATTATTAGCAACATCATCCATCTTCTTGGCACAACCCTTATCCAAATGTCCTATCTTACCACAATAATGACAAAGATTCATAAGTTTTCATATTTGAAACTCACATTGACTAACTGATCACCCAAACGAACATTAGCAATTTTGGGAATTGGTTCATCTACCTTCAAAGTGACCAATAATCGAAGCATTTTTCCCCCATGGTTACCAGTAGTGGCGAAGAAAACGTTTTTCAGGCTCTTGAAAGCTTTTCTTATCTTGAATCCCACTTTAGAACTAAGCTA